TGTGGCTGGAGAAACGCAGCAGTGGTGGGCAGCACAAAGGGAAAAAGAGGTGGAAAAAAAGGGGTAGAGAGATAAATCTGAGCCCTGCCAGGTCTGCACGGGGAAGGCTGAGCTGGTGGGCAGGCAGGGAGGATGCTCCTCATCCTCATCCTCATCCCCATCCTCACCAGCACGGATATTTCCACTTTAATACTTAACAAGGCTTTAAAACTCTTCCGCCGCCGGAGTTTGTTCTCGGCGATAAATTTTGAATAGCTTATAAATTATGGACAGCACACGGTGTCTGTGTCTGGGAGCAAGGGCTGGCCCCAGATTGCTGCTCCGTGGTGTAAAGCTGTGCTGGCATTCCCAGGAACTGGGTCTGGGATAGGACATTACTGGGATCAGCTCACATCCCAAAGCTCCGTCACGTCGGCCTCACACCTCCCAGAAATCATTCCCCAGCATGCAGGAATCACAGGGCAGAGCTCCAGGGGAGCAGAGCAGTGCCCAGCACCTCTGTCCCCACCTTTATGGGTGTCCATAGCCAGGGATATATGGATATATGGATATATGGATATATGTAGCCAGGGATCTATGGATATATGTAGCCAGGGATCTATGGATATATGGATATACATAGCCAGGGATCTATGGATATACATAGCCAGGGATCTATGGATATATATATAGCCAGGGATATATGGATAGATATATAGCCAGGGATATATGGATATATATAACCAGGGATATATGGATATGTGAATATATATAGCCAAGGATATATGGATATATGGATATATGGGAATATATAGTCAGGGATATATGGATATATGGATATATATAATCAGGGATATATGGATATGTGAATATATACAGCCAGGATATATGGATGTATGGATATATATATAGCCAGGGATATATGGATTTATATATAGCCAGGGATATATGGACATGTGGATATATATAGCCTGGGATATATGGGTATATGGATATATGGGAATATATAGCCAGGGATATGTGGATATATGGATATATAGAGCCAGGGATATATGGATATACAGATATATGGATATATATAGCCAGGGATTTATGGATATATGGATATATATAGCCAGGGATATGTGGATATATGGATATATATAGCCACCAGCCCACTCACAGGGTGGAGGGGTCAGGTTGCCCAGCTCCTGTTGGCAGCCATCCCCCAGACAGCCCAGCTCCAAACCAAACATGGCCTTGCCACAAGACCCACAAACTCCAGCTAAAATCCCTGCACACTAGAAGCCCTGGACCCCACAGAAACCCCTCAGCTCTGGGGCTGGAGGGGATCCACCCTGGACAAAAATCCTGCCTGGGAGAGGTGATTTCACTCATAGCAATCCTGAAAGCCAAAGGGGGCTGTGCATTGGGCCTTTCCCACTTTTTCCCTGGCACAGAAATTAGGTTACAGCATGGCTCCAGCTGTACTCCAAAGCTCTAATGTCCAATAAATGTGTACAATGTTCATATATGTGCCTGCAGTATATAAAGGCTGGAGGAAAAAGGCCAGTTTTCACTACATTAATTCATAAAGCAGGTCAGGCTGGTCTGGCCCTTTACCTCACTTGTTATTTCTATTTATTAGTAATATTGATGTTTCAACCAGGGAGCAGGACCCTATCGAGCCAGCTTTAATATTAGAAAAGATTTAGCAGGAGAGCTCTCTGGAATGAAGCAACAACCCCAACACTGAGCTCCTGCATCGTGCAGCTCATAAACACTGCTATTGTTATTTCTGATAATGTTTTATTTTGCATTTTGCTTCCATGGCAGACCCAGAATCTCTGATTACCCTTGGACATGTCAAAGTCCAGCTGCACCCTCATCAGGTTATTAGAAACCCCTGTCAGGACTGAAAACTAATGAGGTTTGAATGTTGTGGAGCCATGGGGATAACAGGGCGGGTACCCATTGGTGTGATGAGGTGATCTGAGCTCTGTTAATTACCTGAGGAGGGTCTGGAAGGGCTGCTGGTGGGAGCAGCAAGACACGGACAGGGACAGGGACATGACAGCCCCTTGTCCACACAGACCTGCACACATTTCTCCCCATTTTTCTCCTCAGGCTTTGATGGTTTTTGCCACGTCCCTGCTGATGCTGCAACACCTGGTGGAGAAACCTGACCACCAACAAAATCCTGGGTAAAGCTGAGCTGTGGCTGCAGAGCCAGGGATTATTTGGGAGCAGCCTGCTGCAGTCTGGAGCAGCAGGACTGAGCTTGCCTGGCACCAAAGGCAGCACATCTGGCAGTGCTGGGGATGGATCCCTGCCCTGAGCAGCACTCTGGGGTGGCACCCACAGGACAGGGGCCCTGGGACTGGCACCCTGCTGGACCTCGCCTCCCACACAGGGAAGGTGTTTAGGCTGAATTAGGGAATGATCACACACTCAGAAGGCCAAAAGCAAGTTTTTAAGCCCAGCCCACTGGAGAGGGATACAAAGGCCAGAACCACATTTAACCCAGCTTCAAGCTCAGTGCCTGCTGAGAGTCTGAGTGAGAGCCAGTCCTCAGCCTTGAGTGAGCCAAGATACACTCACTTAACCAGGGTTCATCTGGCAAAGCACCCTGGAATCATTGATCCTTGAGAAAAAGCAGACAAGGGAAATAAAACTGTCCTGGTCCTTGCCTTCCATGTTCCCCATCAATGCTGGAAAACTCCAGCAGCAGAAGCAAGGATAGGCCAACCTTTCCTGCCTCAAGCACATCTCCTGTGGCTGATGCTGAACTGGGGTCTGGAAATGGAGGATTCCCCTTCTGCCTATGCACCTCTGGGATGTATTTTTGGAATTTCTTTAGGATGATACAGCATGGTGGACCACAAACTGTTTCAGTGATGCACCCAAGAGCAGGATTGAAAGCTGCTTGGAGCAGCAGCAAACCCAGATGTCCCCAAAGAGCCACAGGAATTGTCACCTGCCTTGCCCATCCATTTCAGGACATTTCACTGTCAGGCTGTGCCAAAAACTCTGAGGCTGAGCTGGGATTTCTTGTGTGTGTGGAGCAGAGTTGTGCCAGGGGTACAAACCCCTGAGAGCTGAGGTCAGTGCTGGGGGTGGAAACCAAGACATTTCAAGAAATTTCAGGAAGAGACTCTTGGAATTCCAACCTTGCTCGCTAAACAGGACCTCAGGGGTCAGACCCAGCTCTTGGTGACGCTGCCACAAAATCCAAGTAAAACTGGGAGAATCTGCCAAGGTCACTCCAGGCTGGGAAGTGACGTCCGACTTCCCATCGTGTAAATGGCAGCAGAATCACCCCCACACACACAAAGCTGCTCTCCACCCCCCCCTCCCACCATCTCTTTCGAAATATTTATGTTGGATTGTCCCATGATTTACACTGGAAATCCCTGTGCTGCCTCTCTCTCCCTGAAACGTGCGGTGTCAGCAGCTGGCAGTCAGGATTCCAGGATGCATCCTGGAAATCACAGTGCTGGGAGAAGAGGCATGAGAGCTGCAGAGGGGAATGACCCAGGCATTGCTTTTCCAAAGCACTTTTGGGGGTGCTGCAGGATTTGGGATGTCCCAAATGGGCAGGATGAGAGGAGAATGGAGCAGGGGTTGTGCCCCCAGATCCACTCGCAGCATCCTGGGCAGCCACAGCCCACCGTGTCTGCCCCTCTGGGTGTGTGACACAGCCAAGAGGGAATTTTTCTGGTGGACTTTCATTTTTGCAGGGAAATTCCAAAGGGCTGAAATAACAGAGCAGAGAAACCCTCCTGGGCTCTGGAGGAGGAGGAAATGGGGGATTGTGCAGTGCAGAGGTCAGGGCTTGGGGCAGTGGGAGAGAGCCAAGTTCAAGACCTCCTACCTTGGGGACCATCCCGGTTTGAGTGTGACTCTGGGGTTTTCATGGAAAATCCTGGGGTTTTTTATCAACTGAGAAGAGGGAAAAAATCAGCATTTCCCCTAGCTGAAGTGAGGGGTGGCTGTGCTGCAGTGCTGTCCCTCAGCTCAGACGAGCAGGGCTCCTCACCAGCATCAAGGGCTGAATTACTTACACCTCACGGCAGTGCTGGTGATTTTCCTGGGATAATGCAGGGAATATTTTGCAGATCCAGCTCCTTTTTTACTTATGGGAATACCCAAGCACACCTTGCCAGACTCAGCGGGAACGAAGCAGGGATGGACCAGAACATCCCTCAGTGGAGCCAGTGCCACACCAGCGTGTGGGACAGCACAGGGAGGAGCCCTGGGGTGTCCCCAAGGCCATGGACAGGTCCCCACGCCCAGCCTGGCAGGGGATGGAGCCTTTTTCCCCCAGCCTTGTGCTATTTATTGCTTGCTCTGCATCCTGGCCGCAGGGCACGGAGACTGCGAGGCCATATGAGACCGTGGTGATGAACATCTCTAAGCCTGACCTACTTACAGCCCGGGCCCTGGGACTTTCTGGAATTCATCCTCTCACAAACACAACGTGTAATTTTAGGGCAGCAGAAATCCGTGCTGGATGGGGATGAGGGCCCAGGCTCCGCCGTGTCCGTGACGCTGCTGGAATTGCTGTGGCAGCCTCGGAGCAGATATCAATGCACAGGCTCCATTAGCAACTCTGATTGCCACTGATATGCTTCTCATTAGATCTCAGGCCTCACACATCATGATTTCATTTACAAGATGGTTTTTGTTTTCCCTTCTCTTAATTTGTGTCCTCCTTCCCCCCCCAGCCCCACTCAAAAAAATGAATCTCATTAAAACGTTGCAATTGAGAGCAAATCGTGCCTTAATCCAACCTGCCAGGGAAGCCAATCACCCTGGAAAAAAAATCTCCTTGAAGTCTCCATGCAGGGGCAGGCAGAGAGGGAGAATAATAAAAAGACATCGAATTAGGAGGTGCCGAGGCTTGTTTGAGTGGAGAGGAAGGGACTGTGGCTGCTGACAGGATAGTAATGCAAATCCCCTTTGGAGCACCCAGAGAATCAACCTAAATGGATTAATGTGAGGACAGAGAAGAAATTACTTTAGTTGTTTCCCTAATTCGATTCAATTTATTTTTATACGGCATTTCCATAGCGAGCATCTCGCAGCTGCGTCACCCAGAAGAGGAATAATACAGAAAGGCTCTTCTGGCAGAAGTGCTCACCAGAGCAGGCATCACAGCAGAGGAAGGAATATGAGTGCTGGCCTTGAGGATTTGATTTGCCAAATCATCAGGAAATCACATGCCTTTCTTTTTTTTTTTTTCCTCTCTCTTTGTTTGCTCCCAATTTTACTAATTTCCTCAGGCTTTCCTCAAACCATCTCCATAAATACCGAGGCTGATTCTAGCCTCACACTGCTTTTATAGCACTGTAACTCTGAGCTCACACTGGTTTTACACTGGTGCAGCTCCACTTATTTCAACTGAGTAAATTCCTGATTTATGTTTGTGGAAACGACAGCAGAAATAGGCCCATGGTTTTCCCTGGAGCAATGCCTGCCTCACACCGGGGTGGGGAAGAGGAAGATCAGGTCCCTTGCAATGCAAATGATGGAGAAAACTGACATTAAATGACACCTGGACTCCAGCTTTCAAAAAGACTTTTGCTTTCTTTTATAAAATGTTCTGTGTTGTCAAAGTTAAAAAGGCATGGGAGGAGATGATCTGGAAGGGAGGGCTGGCCATGGTGATGGAGGGAGGGTTGCTGTTCCCCTCTAGTCTTTTGGGAAAAATCAGCACGCCTTCTTCACCCCAATTTCACCCATTTGTGCACAAGCTCTTCCTTGGTCCCAGCCCTGTCCACCAAGAGCCTGGTGTTTTGGATGAAATTGAAATGTGGGCGTCCTGTTAGCTTTAAAATATTTAAATGTAATCCTGGGGAATGAAATCCCTTTGGAGAGGGGTGGGAGAGCTCAGCCTGCAGCCCCACACCCCTCGTTAGTGCCAGCACACGTGGGGCCCTCTGCAAAGCCCCGCTAACAGAACTCTAATTAATTTATTTTTTAAGGCTACACACCAGGGAGCTGATCAGTGCTTCGCCCTGAGGTCTGCTGTGTTTGGAGCTCGTATCACTGCCTTGATTTATTCCCTGTGATGTGGAAGGATGGAGCCAGCATCCCAACACCTGCCTCCCAGGCTGCTCCTGCCCCTTGACAGGTGCAGCATCCTTTGAGCAACACCTCATCCCTGGCAGAGGCTCCTTCTCAAAGCAGCTCCCTGGATGGACACCAGACATCAGTTCTGGGTGTGATCTGGGCCCCTGAATCCCCCAGACCCTGCTGGGTGAGACCAGGCTGTGGCATCCAAGGGACCCTGAGCTGGGCTGCCCACCCTGGCAAGTGTCACCCTCCCTTGGTTCTGCTCACAGGGGAAATCCAGGGACTGATGTAATTTATGGCTGTGGCAGCCAGTGGTTTGTCATGGATTTAAGCAGTTTTCCCCTCTATTTTTGTTCCAGGGGCAGAGATGGGGAGATCAATGCAGGCTGGCAGCCAGCAGGGAAGTGACCTTTGCTGCTCTGGAAGCGATGGAAGGACATTTTTACTGAGATGTGGGGCTGGTTTTGTGCCCAGGGGTCCCTCAGCTCCCACCAGCCCCTGTGCTGTGCCCTGAGGAGGCTTTTGAGATGTGTGGTAGCCAAAGAGCAAATCCCTTGGGGCCAGAGGTGTCACCCCAGCTCTCCTGTGCTCCGGCCCAGGTGAACACTGATGTACCTGGAAGGTTCAGGGTGCCTTTATCCACCCTCCTGCTGCTGTGCCACTCCTCCAGCAGACCCCTGGCTGGGCAGCCTTTGGGTGTGGAAGGCCAGGAAGGGAAAGGAAGAGGATTCAGATGCTTCACTCCTGCTTCTGAGTGCCAGAACCCCCCTTGGCAAGCCCAGTGGCCATAACTCAGCGTGGCTGCATTGTTTTTGCAGGGCTGTGCTGATTTATCCTGGCTGAGGACACTTTGCCACGGTCCAGACTTCACACCCAGAGTGGCACCACTCCCCTGAGCCCCTCTCTTGCTGCTTTTTGCCTTTTTCCTGCTGTGTGTTCTCAGAGGAAGCACCAACACCACCCTCCCAGCCTTGACAACAGCCCAGGGCTCTGCAGGGACCCTTTGCCCTCCCCAGACAGCCCCAGGGGGATGAGATGCCACAACCTGACATCAGCAGAGTAAAATATGGCCCTGGCAGTAATCTGAGAGAATGTGATGGTAATTTGGGGTGGGGGGAGGAGAGGAGGAGGCATTGAAAAAAGGAGGCATTGAAAGTACACTTCCTTTCAGTGCATTGCTGGGAAGACCATTAGGAAAACCACTAGATTATTTTTCACATTCTTCAGTGCAAAACTACTGCATTTTATGACCACTATCAATAACAGCTATCATATTACTAATGCTACAGTTGCCACATATATAATATTTAAATCACATTTGTGGCTGACAGAGACCTATGGATATTCTCAATCCCAACAGGCTATTACAGTTCATATCATGTCTGCCATATAAATATTATGAATCATTTCCCACTATCTTTATGGGGGCTACATTGACATCATCAAAAAGGCTCTGGGTACTGCCGGATACTGCATATTTATATACACCTTATGTATATGTATGTGAATGGAGGGAGATTTATACCACAATCACGGGTAATAAATGCCCATGATAAAGCATATTATCTTCACACTTCATTTGCAAAGTGTTTTGTATGCAGGGACCAGGGGAAGGCCAGCAGAGGAGCTGTCTCTGAGTGACTGAGTCACATCCTCAAAAGCCCTGGTGTAAATCAGGTGGCGTTTGTGGCACGCTGAGCAGGCTGGGGTGAGCTCCAGCTGCTGCCCAGGCACTGCCCAGGTTCCTGTGCTGCTGCTGGCTCCCATCAGGTGAAGGTTTGGCTGCTGTGCCACGGGCAGGATGGGTGATGCTCTGTGAATCTCACAGCTCATGTGCTGAGTTTCGTCTTCCATCCCTTAATGCTTTCTTTGCTGGCCCCAGTCTGGGTGATGAGCTGGAATAAAGAGATCTCCAGGTGTTAAAAGAGGCAGGAGTAGACTCTCCATTTGTAAAGTCATTTTGCAAAGCAGTTCATTAAACCACTGTCCCTGCAAGCCAGGTGAGACATGCCAAACCCAATCCGCCAGAAAAGCACGAGGAGAGGATGAAACCTCCCTTAGGATTATTCAAGCTGGATCCAGACCAGAGCCCAGGTGCCCTGAGACCTTTTCCCCAAACCTGTTTTAAGAGCCTGAACACTCTATTAACACTTGTTCTATATGCAGAGGAAAAGCAGCCTCGTGACTTGGAGTTTGGAGGTCTCTAACAAGTGTTTAATGTCCAGTTCTGAAGCAGCTGAGAGTGCAGCTCTGCCTGTGCAGGAGAGGATTTGATCTGAGCCCTCCCCAAAAGAGGGGAGAATGCAGCATCTCTGCCTGTCCTGGGCGTGGGAATGAGGCTCTCCAGCAGCTCAAATAAATCATGTGCACCTCACTTCATAAACAAACATCAGCAGCCTGTTAGGTGCTGCTGGGAAACAAAACGAGGCACTTGGAGTCTGCAGCACTGACACGAGTGGCTTGTCCTGGAGCTTTGCTGGTTTGTGCCTGCAGCGTCTCCCCGAGCAGCAGGAGCCCCCTGAGCAGCTGGGTGGGTTTGGATGTGTCTGAGGGATGCTGAGAGTCTTGCCAAGGCTCTGTTCAGGGACTAACTCCACTTTCAGGCTCCAGAGTCTCTGACCTGTCCCCCAAAAGTTTTGTTGTGTCTTTCTCTCCTTCCTAGTGGGAAGAAAAGCAGGTTGTGAGCTCCTCTTGCCCCCGAGAGCACGAGGGAGGTGCTGTCCTGAAGCCCTGCAGAGCCAGGCAGAAAGGTGCACAGTGGAGGGACTTTTCTCCTGTAATTCTGCTGGGAGACACAGGGAATACAGATCCTGGTCCTGGAACCTGCGGTGACTTCGGGAGAGCAGCTTACAGGAGGTGAGGACAAGCCTCCCACAAACTCTGCATGAGTGGAGGGAGTCTTTCTTTGGCTGGGTTTGGTTCTCTGGTCACTGGAGTCCCACACTGCCTGCTCAGGGAGGGACTCTGGCCACAAGCCCCAGGCCAGTGGCCACAGCCACCCCTGCTCCCACATCATGGCACCTCTGGCCACCTGTCACAGCCCCCAAGTGCAGCTGGAGATGGAACCCAGACACAGCCCACGAGCTTCTTCTATTCTTCCTCAGTCAGATTTTGCATTTATTCTTTCTTTAATTTGTAACAAAATGCAGCCAGGCAGGAAAATAGATTTAATTTTTATTTTTCTAACTGTGCAGGAGGGCATAAAACAGTAGGGGAAGCACAGCAGGTTCTGCTTTTGTGCCCTGTCAGATAATTCAGGGTTGTGGACAAGAAAAGCTGGAAACACTTGGAAAAAAACCACAGAGGCTGTGATTTCCAAATTCATTCACTGGGCCCAAGTGTCCCGTTCTGAATGTGGTCCCAGCTCCCAAAACCTCTCAGAGCCTGACTCCTGCTGAGGCCCACGTGCACCTGGATCCCTTTGCCCCAAAGGGATGCCAATGGGGTGGCAGTGTGGACGGAAGGAAAAGCTTTGCCTAATTGATTTGTTTATCTGATGAACACAGCATCCCTCCCTGCCAAATTCAGCCAGGACTGAGAGCTGGGACTGAGAGCTGAGGCCGGGCACTCCCTAAATGATCCCATTTTATCATCCTGCCTTCCTCAGGAGCCCGGGCTGAAGGGTGTTGGCATCCCCCAAGGGTGCAGAGGACAGGAGCAGCAGTTTGCCAAGCCAGCTCTCCCATCCAGCACAGGACCTTCAAGCATCCCTGCACCAACCAGATGTACAAGGCAACGAGCTGCCAAAATTATCTGAATGTGCCCCCCCGTGATGATTGAAGTCCTTCCTGGGAAGTGCGAGGCTGAAGGTGAGCACAGCATTAGGCAGCTTATTAAATTAATAGTGCATTAAAGAACTCAGGGGAGGTGGAAGGGAGGGGAAAGGGAAAGAGAAGGTTTGTAACATCACAGAAATATCCTGGCTTACCTTCTGGCATCTTCAAGAGACTGGAAATGTGGGACTGCATCCAGCTGCCTTCTCTGGGGCAAAATTCCTTTGGCTTCTGTGGGAGGTTTTACTCAAATAAGGATTGCAGGATCAGACCTGTTATTGTCACTGCAATTAACATTTAGATCCACATCTAACATGTACTGTTACAGCCTGGTTAGGGAGAAATTTAATTTGCTCTAAACAGCTTGATGGGAGAGGAGCATGAAATGTCCTGGTTATGGTAATTTCGTGTGTTGGGAGTCTGCAAAGGTGGATTTGCAGCCCTGGCTCTGATAACCCTGGGATCTGCTGCAGCCATGGAGCTGAGCCTGCTTTGGGATGGGGCTTTGGGGCCACATCCCCATCCCCTGTGTTGGTGACACACTCAAAGCCCCAAAGGCCTTGGGCACCCAGCGGGGAGGGGACAGGCAGGTGAGAGCCCAGCTCTGCCCCGAGCTGTGTTTGCCCTTATCAGACAGATGAGCTTTAGTTTGTCTATTAGGAAACTCATTTCTACCTTTGAGCTGTCAGTCTGTACACAGATATCCATGAAATCTGTGATTTTTGCACTCATAGAGACTTTGAACCTGCTTTTTCTGACAACCCCCAACTTTCATTTATTTCCTCGTGTATTTCCTTTTTTTCCCCTTTTCTCCCAGGACTTGATGTAACTCACCCTTAGAAACTGACTTGGAGATGAAACTTGGCATTTAAGGTCCCAGCCTGGGAGCAAATGAAGTTACCAGTTATAAACACACACCAAAATCTGTTTGGACATGCTGAAATTACAGGAGCAGAGGATTAAAAGGATCCAAGACGCTTTATTTAGTTTTAACTTCTGCAGCTCCACCTGAATGTCAGTTTGCAGCCACATGCCTGACACAAGATGGGTCCTTTTTGCTGTTTTTGTTCTTCAGGTGGATTGCAATGGATTTGGAATATTTATTCTAAAGCAGATGGGCTGGTGAAGGTCCCAAACTGGGATCCTGGGGTGTTGCCAGCTGTGTACCCCTCATCCAACCATCCCCACGTGGCTCTGCCCTGCAGGAAGGGCAGGATCTTGTCCTCTCCTACAACAGAAGAGTTGTAGGAGAAATCCAGGTTTTGGGGGCCTTTCCAGAGCCTTTCCTGCGTGGCTGGAGATCCCACAGGGACAGGCAGGAGATGGAGTGATAGGAGCACGCAGGGATACGGCGATGGCAGATAAGAGGCCTCACTTTTCCAGGAGGAGCTGCTCGCTCGCTAATAATTTCTGGCACGAGACGCTTTGCCAATTAAAGAATAAATCAGGGCAGATAAGGCTGGGGAGCGTTCCACGGATCTGCCACACAGGGAGAACGCCTGGGACATCCCTGATTGTCCCAGCTACCTCAGTGTGCTCACTGCAGGAGAGCTGGGCTCGGCACTGGGAGCTACCTGTGCCAGCAGCACCCCCCCAGCAGCTGTCCCTGGTGTCACCCCAGCCTCGCTGAGTGCCCAGCCTTGCTCCCCAGCGTGTGTGAGCAGCTGCAGCGTGGCCCCAGCCTGTTTGTTATGCATGTTACCGCCGTGGAAAGCCAGGGTCGATAGGATGTTTAATATGCTTCATGCATAGTGGAGTCGCTCTGGTCCATCAAGCCACTAATACACATTCTTACGGGGCTGAGTATCATTTATTAAACCTGGAGGCCTGCCTGGCAAAGGGGGGCCGGGGCTCTGGGAAGCAGCCAGCGGCGCTGCTGGGGTGGTACGGGCGCTGCTCAGGAGGAGAGAGTTTGCAGAGGAGCCGCGCACACACACAAACACACACGCACAGACGCACAGAGAGTTATTTGTTGCGCCTCACGGATGGGAAATGGAATAAATCGTGCTCTGAGCGCTGCCCGCCCTGTGACACAGCCCGGGGCCAGGCAGCGGGCTCAGGGCTGGCTGCTCCGGGGCTGGGCACAGCTGGCATTGCTCAGCATCACTCCGGGAACCCCCTCGGCTCCCCCTCCCGAGCCTGACACTGCAGCGCTGCGCACCGCTTGGGTTTTTTCCTCTTTTCCCTATTTTTTCTCTTTCCTCACCTCTTTCCCCTTCCTGCTCTTTCCCATCTTTTTTTCGTCTCCTTTCCCCTCGCTTCTTTCCCTTCTATTTCTGCTCTTTTTTCCTTCTCTCTTTCCCCTCTCCCCACTCTCTTCATCTCCCCCCTTCCTCCCCATCTCTAATTTCCCCTTCTCGCCACCTCTTTTTCCCCTCTATTTTTTCCCTTCCTCCCTTTTGTTTTATCCTTCCCCCTCCCCTCTATTTTCCTCCCTTTCCCCCATCACTTTAAGCTCGGCTCGGCTCGGCTCGGCTCGGCTCGGCTCGGCTCGGCTCGGCTCCCCCTGCGCGGGCCCCGGCGCGGAGCCGGAGTTACATTGTTGGAGTTTGCCACAACTCCGCGGCCTCGGCTGCGCGGGGCCGCCGCTGCGGGGCCGCTGCGGGGCCGCAGCTTCCCCGCTGCCTCCTCCTCCTCTTCCTCCTCCTCCCTCCCTCCCTCCTCCTCCTCCTCCCCGTGGGTGTTTTTTTTTTTTTTCTCCCCTCCTCCCCTCTCCCCCCCGCGCTGATTTCCCTCCCCTCCGCCCGCCTTGCCTGTGTGTTTTCGCCGCCGCGCTCGCCGAGCCCCTTGGCATGAGTTAAGCACCAGCCATGGACACCAAACACTTCCTGCCGCTGGGTGAGTTCTGTTCCGAGAGATTCTCCCTTCCTACCGCGGGGGGTGGCGGGGTGCTTCGGGACGATAAAATCAGCGCCTGTCCTGCCGCCTTCCCCCCTCCCCCGGCTCCGCTGCCCCTTCCAGCAGCGCGCACCGGGGGGCGGCGGGCGGGGGATGCGCTCGCCCCTTCCCCGGGGAGCGCCGCGGCCAGCGCGGGGCGGGCGGCCCGGCCCCGGCCCCTGCCCCCGGCCCCTGCCTTGGAGTTGGTATTTTTCTTTTGCTTTTGCCGTTGTTTATTTCGTGGCGCAGCCCCGGGGACGGCGGGCCCGGCCGGGGTGCCGAGCCGAGCCGAGCCGAGCCGGGCTGGGCCGGAGCGAGCCCCGCCGGGCCGGTCGGGCAGCGGCCCCAGCGGCGCTCGGAGCGGGGCAGCGGCAGCGGGCAGAGCCCCCTCCCCGCCCGGGGCCGCCTCTGCTCGGGGCTCGGCAGCGCTCAGACTGTGCTTCCCCCTCTTGCCTTCCTCCTCGCTTTATTATTTTTTTTTTCTTTAATTTTTGACTTTTCTCCTTTTTTTTTAAATTTTTTTTTCCTCTCCCCGCGGCATCCGGGGCGCGCAGCCGGGCAGGGGGAGGCAGCGCCCGGCCCCTCCGCTCGCATCGCCGGCTCCCAGACCCGCCGCTGTTGGGACCCTCCTGCCTTTTTGTTCTTATTTATTTTTTTTCCGCCCCTCCCTCTCCTCCTTTTAGCTGCGTTTTAAAACCTATTTCCAACCGGAGTTTGCCATCGTTTCGGTGACTGAGTCAAGTCCTGGCTTGTAAGGGCGAATGCCTCCTGCGTCTCGCTTCCAGGAGAAGTGATATTGCAGAGCTCGGTGCTCGGGGTGGGGGGAAGAAAAGTTTGAGCGGAGTGGCCTGGCGCCAAGCCCGGGCTCGGGGGAAGAGGGGCGAGTGCTGCCATCCCTGTCCCCGCTCATCCCGGTGGCTCCCAGCCTCCTGCCGAGCGAGCCATGGCCAGCGAGTCCGTCCCTTTGGCTTCTCTGGGCTTTAAATCTGTGCTCAGCCTCTCCAGCCTGCCGGTGGTGTGTTTTGATTCTTTCTTCCTCTTGTTTTTTGTTTTTTTTTCCTTTAATGTGTTTTGGTTTTTTATTTTTTATTTTTTTTGCTTGTTTTGTTGACAAATTGCAATTTCGGTTATTCCTTTCAAAGAGCAGAATAAATACAAACAACCGTCACAAGGTTTCCCGCAAGCCCAGCCCGCTGAGAGGCTTTCCAGGGCTGTGGTGGTCTGGGGGCTTTGGCAGGGAGACCCTGGCCCTGTGGGCTGGCAGAGCTGTAGGTGGCATCTCCGTGGCCCCAAAAATCTGTTTCACAGTGCCCCTTGTTGTCTGGGCTGGGAGATGCTGCTGGGGCCAAAAGCATCTCACCTGCAGCGTGTGTCCCTGGTTCCAAATCAAACCGGCTCCTTTTCCTTGGGGCCAGTGCAGCTCTTGGGGCTCATCCCAGCAGAAGGTGCCTCTCTTGCCCCACTGGAGTGGTTTAACCTTAGGAGTGGCTTTTTGGGGGATTCACATTTCCTTGGATGCTCTTGTGGAAGGCAGTCCAAATCTCTGTTGATCCGGGCAGGCTCAGGCCTCTGTGTACATTAACAGTCTTTTCTGTCAGTCCTGAACTCTCCTGTTATGCTGTAAATGCTAAAAACTACATTTTGTTATTAGTCAGGGTGGTTTGAGGGGCTAGGAGGGGGAGAGTGTGTGATTGCTGGCTCGGGGAAGGGTTTTCACGCTGGTTCAAGTGGAAAACAACTGATTAGAAATTTAGAAATGTGTGCATGGTGGGGCTGTGCCACCCATCCCCAGGGAAAACAGGGCAGCCCCCCAGGACAGCCCTCTGGGGGAGGTTAAAACTTCTTATCCTGGTCTCAGGACAAAATCCATCTGGCTGTGGGAGCTGTTTGGGGTGTGTGGTCTGGGATTGTGCTGGAGGAGAGCCTCCCAAACTTTATGTGCTGGTCTTTGGTCACTGATTGTTGGGAAAAATCCCTTTGGCTGCAAGGCCAGTGGTTGCTGCAGGTTTTGGAGGGGGAGATCTTGGTCCTGCTCTGGGCAGTGCAGGCAGTGTCTGAAAGCTTGTGAGCAGTTTGTAGGATTGAGGGAATGTGAGCTGAGAGCTTCCCAGTGAAACCAGAGCAGAGCTGGACGGGCCATGGGGCCTCTTTAGAGGCAGGATGGACCAAACCCCCCCAGGTCCCAACTTTGCAGGGTCCCAGGGTGTTTCACCAACCCTATCTCGTGTCATTTTTGGGAGCTGGTGCTGGAAATACCCAGGGGAGAAAACCAGCCCAGCTTGTGGGGTTTGTTTCCCTGCACACCAGTACAGGCCTGAGCTGGGGAACAGCAGCAACACGGCCAAAATTCCGCTCCATTACTGTGTCCCCATCAAAATCCCAGCTCAGTTTGGCCCAACAAGGCCAACCTGGTGCTTCCTGGCCAAGTCCTGCCCGTGGTTAGACTTAGATAACCCCGCTGATGTCATGGCTGGAAGTGTGGCCAGCACTGGGCACTTTTAATAGTAGTATCTCATTTTCCTGCTCCTCTGGAGAGCTGCTGGCAGATGCCAGCCAGAGGCTCCCCGTGAGGACAGCACGTCCCTGGGCATCTCCCAGGCTGGCTGCTGTCACCTGCCTGCCATCCCACTGCCAGGACAACCTGCAGCCTGGCACAGGGGTGTGGGCACAGGTACCTCCACAGCCCTGCTGGGGCTTAAAACACCTCGGGGTCCAGCAGATGCTGCCTTGGAGCCATCTGGAGTTACAGTCCTGCCTTTGCTAGGCTTAGCTTGCTCAGAGCTGTCCAGGTTTTGCTCCTCTGTGCTGTGCCAGGTCTCCAGGAGGAGGAAAATGTAATAAAATCCGTGGTGTGAGGATCACCTGTGGTGGGGTACATGGGCTGAGGTCAAGGCTTTCACGGGGCACTGATGTGCAAAGCAAGGACTCGTTTCTTCAGGTGGCTGCTTGTTCTCTGCCTTTTACAATCCTCTTAGTGCTTTGCTTTCCCATTGCCCATTCCCTGGGTATCTCTGGGGAGGAAAACAGGCATGGTGAGCTCGGGGAGCTCTCCCTCAAGGCTCATCTTTGTGGGGGAAGAAGCAGTTAATGGTTGTCCGGGGCTGGCACTTCCCTCCAGAGGTTGTAACCTCCCTGTGTCCCTCTTCCCACCCTGCAGCCTGACCTCCAGCAGGTTGTAAGCTCTGTGTGTCCCTCTTCCCATCCTGCAGCCGTGCCAGGCCCGGCTGCAGCTGCTCAGGATGTGGGGTGAGGACTGTCCGTGCCGTGCTCGGGGCTGGAGCAGCAACACTTCCGAGGAAAAACAGCAAAACAACCCCCTGCATGTCCAGCTGGGCCAGCCCGGGGCTGGGGCTGCTTTGTGAGCATCCCTCAGGCACCTTCATCCTGCATCCCCTGGCTGGGATGAGCCTGGGGAGCTCCTCAGTGCAAACCTCTGCATTGAGACCTCACCACGATGCTCAGTCCTGCTCTTGGTACCCTCAAAAATCAACAGCTGATGTGACAATCTGCAGAGAAGAGGACTGAGGGATGTGGGAAGCATCTGAGCATCCCAGTGGGGAAGGAGGAATCCTCTGCCCCACATCTGGTTGGATCCCAGGGGCTGGAGCAGGGCTTGGCAGGAGCAGGAGGTGAAGTCTGGTTGTGTCCTGGTCTCTCTTGTGGGGCTCGACCTCTCCTCGTTGACATATGCAAAACAAGCTGGGAAGGAATTTTTTGCCTTTTCCAGAATCTGGGTTGTGACAGTGAAATAAATCCTCAGAGCGTCCCTGAGTTTATTCCACGTCGTCCTGCTGTGTTGGAGGGAGCGTTTGTGTTTCTCAAATTTAGAGTATTTTATTTATTTAAAAGAGAGCGGGGGAGAAAGCCACAGAATTTGAGTTATTCATTGCAAATATTATTATTGGCGTTTTGCTCCTGTTGAGGGGGAAAAAAAAAAACCAACAAGGGGGGAATCAAAACATTTCACTGGAAAATACACCCTGGCTTTGTCCCACCCACATCTTCAAGGCAAAAATAAATATTTATTAAGAAATGGGTTAAAAACCTTTTTGTTGAGCATTGTTTTCTGGGAGCAGGGGTGGGTTGCCATATGCCAGAGCCCTGCCACTGGGCTGAATTTTGGATTTTTTAGTTTTTTTTTTGCAGGATGGTTAAGGAAAGAAACAACAGAGGAGCTGTGGGTGCTGCAGGGCTTTGGGGTGTGCCTTGGCTCTGCCTTGTCTGTGGGCTCTGTGTCCTATGAGCATCCTGGTGCCTTTTCCGGGGGATTGTGTGTGCTCAGAGCATTCCCCGAGGCTCCCAGCTGCCTGAAATCCCCAAATCATTCCTGCTAAAAATAACCCAGCAGTGAGACAGCAAGAGCTGGTGGCCCTTGGCAAGGGATTGAACAGGGCTGTGGTGATGCTGTGGGGACACTGAGGGGTCCCTGTGCCCCAGCTGGGCTCCTCCACTGAGCCAAAACCTGGGATCCCTCAAACCCCTGCTGGCCAAGTGCTGCAGGGACCTTCTTTGAGAGCTGGGTAATTAATTGGGCTCTAATTAATCCTTCTCTGGCTCTGATCCCCAGGTTGGACAGGGGAGGAACTGGGGCTCTCCTTGCTCTGACCTGTGGTGTGGAGGGGTCTGGGCATTTCAGAGGGGTGCTGGGGGATGTGGAAGGATGTGGGCACTCAGGAGGGATGCTCAGAAGTGTCAGGGATGCTGGGAAGCGTCAGGGATGCTCAGAAGTGTGTCAGGGATGCTGGGAAGTGTCAGGGATGCTCAGAAGGGTGCAGGGATGCTGGGAAGTGTCAGGGATGCTCAGAAGGGTGCAGGGATGTTGGGAAGTGTCAGGGATGTTCAGAAGTGTGCAGGGATGTTCAGAAGTGTGCAGGGATGCTCAGAAGTGTGCAGGGATGTTCAGAAGTGTGTCAGGGATGTTCAGAAGTGTCAGGGATGCTCAGAAGTGTGCAGGGATGCTC